GTGGTTCTCAACCTTCCTAATGCCATGACCCTTTAATACAGTTCCTCATGTTGTGGTGACCCCCCAACCATAAAATTATTTTCATTGCTACTTCATAACTGTAATTTTCTATTGTTATGAATCGGGCAACCCCTGTGAAAGGATCGTTCGAGCCCCAAAGGGGTCCCAACCCACAGGTTGAGAACTGCTGACTTATATAGAGATTAGGGAATACCCCCTAGCAAACATCCTTTCAATTATATCAGGGATATGACCTATGAAAGGAGGTTAGATTCCACCTTATCTTCCTACCATTGGTTGGCTGCTGAGAGTACATCCCATTATGAAGTTGATTACATGGTGGTAGGTCACATCATGGGGGATTACTAGTCCTTATAACTGCGAAAGCATTGCCTTCAGGTGCTTTGGATATGTTATCAAGCGAGACCAATCCCAGGAAAAGGATATCTGCTTTATAAAGTGCAGCCAAAAAAGAAGAAGGCCCCCAACAAAAATGATTGACACGATGGGCTCAAACAATGGTGAGAACGATTCAGGATTAGACAGTGTTTCCTTCTGTTGCACATAGTGTCGCTAAGAGTCAGAACAAATTTGATGGACTCTAAAAACATTTTTTTCTAAAATGACCAGACATCCCTTTATTATTAAAAAATAATTAGAAAGTATATGGTTTGAGAGAAGACAATCTTTTAATTAATCCCTTAAAATATTCCTAGAAATTTAACAGCACATAAGCTGATTAAATATGATTGATATTCAAATTTACTCTGTTACAAGTACTCCAGTAATTCAGGTTAAAAAAAAGGCATAGTATAGTATGAATTTTCAGTCCATCATGGTATTGAGGAATTCCTTTGAAGGTAAAACAGACCGTCAATAGTGTCATCCAGTGTGGGCTGTCCTTGGACAACTATCTCCCATTCTTACTTCAGGATTTATAGTAATAATTGTAAGTGCACAACACCTTAATATTCCCAATCTACTGAGGCTTTGCTTTCATCTAAGAAAATATTTGTAGACTAAAGCAGATCACATTGACTCTGTTCTCAACCTCCAAGTGAACAACACTGAAGGACGTGGATACAGCGTCTGAGGTCCTGCACGACCTGGGCCCTGCCTTGTTTCCTACCACTCTCCGGCTCCATCCACTATTCTTGCTGACGCTCAAGCACATGAACTTATGTACTTGACTCATCCATCACCACGTACTCACAAACCACTGCCAAACGGTCTGTCCTCCCATCTCATCAGATTGCTACTGAAATATCACCTCCACAGAGATAGCACTACCCTTTCTAAAGCAGCATATTCTATTACTCTCTCTCTTGTTCTTCATAGCAAACCGTTTTCTCTTTACCACAGAATCAAACACATACTTATTCATGTCACCTCCATGAGACAGGAACTTCATCTCATTTACCATTATATCTTCAGAGCCTAAAACACACATATAATTGACATCAAGTAACTATTTAGTAGCTAAGTAGGAAGGCTTTATTATTATTGCTTTCAGCAAATGCTAATGATAGAAGAGAGAAGAAAAATCTCAGTTTGAACCTCAAGCACGGGGAGAACGGTGGAAAGCCGGAAGAGCTGAGCTAGCCCAGAACCAGAGTGGAGGCGAAAGCAGAAGGAGGCCACTCACCCGGTAAAGGCCTGAGCAGCAGAACGGAGGAGACGTTCTTTTTTTCTTCCACTCACTCTCAGCTCCTTTCCTCTCTCGTTTCCTTCTCCAATACCGACCCATTTTTGCTCTCTTTTCCCCCTCCTGTTTTGCTTTCTCTTCTATAAACTGCTTTCCACTTGTACATTCCCCTCAAAGAATTTGTGCCATCCAGTTTCACTCCTGTCTCCAGGGCTCTCATGCTTCTATCTAGCATCCCAGGGGCCACCCCACGCGTACATTTGTCTCTCTGAAGCTTGCCCTCATCAGGCAAGTACTCCTTCCCCTCTAAGGCCCATCTACATGTCAGCAAAAGTATCTGTTTAATGTATTACTATTGCCATTTCTTCATCTCGAACAGCTATTATGATTTTATACATATATATGTACATGTATTCTGGTAAAATTCTGACAGACAAATTGTGAAAATGTAATCAACATCACTGAAAAATTTGTGGAAAAGTTGTTAAATTGAAGACTAATTTGATATTCAAACTTTCACCTTAAACATAATTTTTTTAATTTTCCAAATTTTAGATTAGCAGGCTAATCAGGCTTACAACATAATATATCTCCCCAATGCATTCCCCTTCTGAAAGAACTCATAGCCATAAAAGGCAAGTACTTACAAGATGAAATCTTAAACAATGGTAATAGCAACAAAATTTCTGCTTTCCTTTTTTACTAACTTGGTGTCAACTTAATGAAATGTGACGCTGCTATCAGGAGAGTGCAATAAAAATGAAATGGTGCCCAATGTACAAAGAAAGTATGAAAATCCCAAATGACAACAGCAAAACAAAATTCATGTTTTCTCTTTCCTTTCCTATGCCCTTTGCATTACCTTGAGAGCATATGACTGCTATGCACATACTACAATAAAAGTAAACTGGCTGCTAGTCTGCCTAGATGGATGCTGGAAAAATAGCTAAATAAAATTATATTTCTCAGTACCTCATAAAAGATCTATCAACATGACCCAATTCTCATGTCCTTATGTTAAAGCTATACTAAATGTGGCTAAACAAACCAGCAGCTCAAGAGGGGAGTTCCCGGGTCAGTTTCATCCCAAGCAGAGTGGTCCGCTCAGTAGGTTGTGACAAGTGCTTTCAGGGTTCCAAAGAGAGAATCCTGAAAGATGTTCTCGAAGTATACAGGATGACCATGAGGAGTTATGATGAAGTTTTAAGAAAACTGAAACTTGGGCAGGAGAGAAAAAGGCCCAGAAAGCTGCACTGAGGAAATGTCCACCTTCACAAAACTCCTCAAGGTTAAAGGGCAATGGTGAGATTCAGTCGGTTCCAGTAGGCTCAGTAGAACCAATATCGAATTTCTTTAATGAGTTTGGTGAACCAGTTGTTAAAATAGCACTTGTAATCAGGATTCTCCCTGAGGTGGGCGGCTGGACACTCAATGTGGAAATCACACATTTACATCCCCTACTTTTTTCTAATGTTCATTTGTGCAATAGTATATTCTAAATGCCTGTAGTAATGTTCATTTCACCCATAGGTATAAAAACCTAGACAGAACTATGCTTGTAATATTTATTTGTTTCATTAAACTTGTTATACTTTTGATAAAATACTATTAGTTTTATTCCCTTGAGTTTGTTGCTTATATATATATAAATATATATATATATATTCTTATATATAAACAAATATATATAAGAAAAGGTTCCAAACAACCAGAGGGTGGCATGCTGTCATTTGCTTCAACTTTGTGTTCAGCCCCAAATTTCCACAAAATATTATGAATAATCAGTGAAACTCCTGAAAGTATTCAAAAAACTAAAAATATTGTCAGAACAATTGCTGTCAGTTCAGCAGAAGCGGAAAGGGATGTTTCAAAGATGAACATAAAATGTTCCGAGAAGAGAAGTCGCCTGTTTTTATATAATAACAAAATAACTGTTGTCTAATCGGCCTACTTCTAAAGGAATGGGATCCTCTTCCTACAGCAAAAAGCTGGTTAAGGATAAATCACACAGCTGTTGATGCTTGAATGAAAGGAAAGAATATTGCAAGTGAAGACACCAATTCAGAAGCTGTCTTAAGTAGCAGTTTTATGGGGTTTTTTGTCAGGTTATTATTTGATATTTTTCATTGATAGTTTAAAATTCTTTCTTATAACGTAATCTAGTTTTGTGTTTCTCTTTTATTGATCTAATTTAAGTATTAACTGTATGAAATAATAAACTAACGTTTGGAATATCATTTTTTATATTACAATGCTCATTGGGGTAGTAAACTGGTTTTTTTATTTGAATTCTACCACTGGTAAAGGGATTAATTCTTCAAGGGGGGCAAGGGCTCGCCTATGAGCACTTCAGTGGGACACTTGACTCTGTCCACTTTACAACCATGATCTTGCCCCTTCAGATTTCTTTTCATTCCCCAAATTCAAAGAATATTGAAAACAAACACAATTTGAGTTCCTCCAGGATTTCATAACCATTTTGACATGGTGTACACTGAAGCATGCAGAATTCTTTGTGTAAAAGAGAAAAAGTGTATAGACCTAGGAAGAGGATATGTCAAAAATAACTTCACATTTTGATATTTTTAATAAAAGTATTTTTGATTTGTAGCAATATTTCTTGCTTTCAAACATGCTGAGATTATACTTGTACTGATATTATACTATACTTGTGTATGAATACTAAACATATAAATATGCTTACATATATATATTTAGCAGTACACATACCATATTCTTAGAGACATAAAATTTTAAGATACAAAGGAACCGAAACTATCCAATAAAATTAATAGACTCCACGTGTGTTGATATATATGTTTGCCAGTAAGCAAGCCAATCTTAGTCATTGTTCAAATTCAAAGCCTGGCAAACTAAGACAATAACTAGAAAGAGGCCACACCTAAAGTTGAATTCCCATCTAGTATGTTTATGTGTATATGCATATGTGGACTTTTCTGGAAAAAGATAAATATGATACCAAAAATGTTGAAAGTCACAAACCTGAACACAGTGTAGTGAGTGAGTGAGGCATTGTTACAGAGAGGAAAATCAACTCTGACAGGGGACAGAGGTATTTCCTGGGTTTATTTTTGTCTTGTTTTCATTTTTTGTTTGTTGACATTATTATTTTGTCTGTATTAAGCAAAATTAGCAGATACCTACAATTCTGAATTTCACTTGACTGGCACCATAAAACTACAGGTCAGAAAGATGTACACTACTACTATCATGAAGTAACAGAAACCTGTACCAGAATAAACAAAATGTACACAAAGAATTATTAGATCATTTTTGGAATCCAAATTAGTTTATTAAATATTATTCTTATGAATCTTTACAATAGTCCCTTGTCATTGTCAATAAAACAGTGACAAAATCTCCTGGGCTAAAGTCAGCTAGATTTTACTACACTCATTCTCTTTTCAGCATTACTTAATTTTCTTCATTTAATCTTGAACACACCTATATTTTAGGTGAATGTCGCACAGTCCGCCCTCATCCAGCTCACTGTATGTGTGAACTGCAGAGTAACCCATACCTAATGCCACTGTAACTAAACGCGGTAATGCCACATCACTGCACCGAGCAGAGGCAAGCTTCAGATTTCCTACATCTGAATCCTGCGAATCGCTTTAGCACACTGTTAGTGGTTTAGTCACTGTATCGACTATTGGTGTTAAATCTTTGGATGCAGTGAAAGTTAACAGTGCTGTTCTACGTTGTAAAAAAAATTCAGTCTGTTTTCCCTTTTTGATTACAGTTCACTTAAGGAAAAAATGTAGCTGTGTGGTTTGACAATGTTTTATGTGTCTTCAGCTGACAGAACACACAAAAGGTTTGAATAGCCCATTTATTTGAGCAGACGTATTAAATAATACTTTAAATGTGAACATGCATGTCATAAATTTAGTAGTCTCCTTAAAGTAGGATAAATCTAGTATTTAAAATAGGCTTTGTTCAAAGCCATTTTTTTTTCCCAAACAGTCATAAAGGGACTCTGATTTGTGCTGCATGAACAATGCCAGCATCATCATTTTAATGTTATCCATATGGGCTTCTAATAATAGATAAGAGTCTACATTTGTATTGTATGTCTTAGAGACATTTAAAATCTAGATAAGTAAAGGCTTATTTCATTGGCCCCATAGTTAAAGCAAGCAGACCCTAATTAAAAGAATTCTGTTCTGAATTAACTAGTTTGACATGTGCTAATTGACAGTTCCTGTGAAATGGTTCTAATTAAAGTCAATATGTCTTTTTCAATTAAAAGGAAATTAAGAATATACTAATATACATTAACAACTTAATCTGCCTTCAATATCCCATACATCAGCTGCTTCTTTCCTCCTAGCATTACTGGAGCACCATCTGACATGAGTCTTGCTGTTGCTTACGGTGTCTCATCATGACTTCACACAAGCCCAGCAGTAGGGTGTGTCCCCTGGAGAAGAAGACAACCCACACAGACTTTCAATTTTCAGATTGTCTAACTGTTAGTTCATTAAATGCAAGCCCACCCTTCTGAATTAAAAAAGGACGTTAGTTAATAAGAATCTCTGCTAACTGAACACAATGACAAGGGTTGTCGATTAGTTGGGCTTTTTACTCTAGGCCTTAAGGTGATTGCATTATGCTGGGAAGAGGCTGGAGTGTTTCATCCTTTGGTTTGATTCAAAGCAACGCCTGGTTTGAGCAACATACAACAGAAAACGTCTTTCAAAACATGTTTCTCAAATGAAACTTAGGGGAAATCTCAGGTGGGAACATGTTGCATTGCATATACAATACAAAAATAGAATATAAGATTACTTTAAAATGCCAGCACTGAACGAGTCCCATCAGTCAATGAAAATGGATCACTAGAAAAACTGTTTATGGTGCATATTTAAATATATAAATACACATTAACAAAGCTATTGCCAAAGCTATGCTGTTGGCAACTTTTTTTTAATATAAATAATTTTATTGGGAGCTCTTACAGTTCTTATAACATTCCATACATCAATTGTATCAAGCATATTTGTACATATGTTGCCATCATCATTTTTTAAATATTTATTTTCTATTTGAACCCTTGGTATCAGTTACTCTTTTTTCCCTCCCTCATCCACTCCCATCCTCGCGATCCCTTGATAAATTACACACCAACTGCACCTACTGCTGTCTCCCTTCATCCACGTTTCTGTTGTTCATCGCCCCCCTGGGGGGGGTTACGTGTCAATCACTGTGATCAGTTCCCCGTCCTCCCTTCCACCCCCTACCTATCACTACTCCCAGTTCTGCTGCTCAGGGATTTATCTGACCTGGATTCCATGTGTTGTGGGCTCTTTTCTGCTCCAACCCCCGCTGGTTCTCAATAATATGTCTGTTTTTGTTTGTTTGGGGTCTTCTGGTGCCTGTTACCTGATTCCATCGACACCTAATGATCACGCAGGCTGATGTGATTCTTCCATGTGGGCTTGTTGCTTCTCTGCTAGATGACCACTTGTTTAACTTCAAGCCTTTAAGAAGACCCCAGACACTATAACGTTTGAAGCCTTTAAGACACCATCAGCTCTCTTTACCACATTAGCTTATGCACCCATTTTGTCTTCAGCAATCATGTTTTGAGGGTGAGCATCACAGGATGTCAGGTAAGAACAAAGGTTCTCGTGTTGAGGGAGGGCTTGAGCAGAGGCCCAAAGTCTGTCCACTTCCTCAATGTATTGCCATATAAATATATATACATAAGCAAATACCTCTATTTTTATTAATAATATACATACATAAGTGCACCCCTATGTTTATACCTCTATTCATAGCTCTGCTTCCTAGATCTTTCCGCTGTTTCCTTGTACCTTCCTCCTTTCCCACCATCACACTCGCCCTTCTTCTCCCTCTTAGTAATTCCGCTCAGCTAGATTGCTGTTGCTCCAACATCACTGGAATCTCTATGTCCTCCTCATTGTTAGTTTTAATTCCCTAGTTGTTTCCCTCTCTTTGGTGATGTTTTCTCACTGCTCCTTTCCCCCTCCTCCTCCTCCTCCCTCCAGGTCCCTCTGGAACCATCAGTCCCACGGCGTTCTCCTCGGGCTTGCTTTCAATGCCTATCTTACATTGGTAGGCAAAACAACAATAACAGAGACAAAACAAAAAGAAAGCAAAAGATTGAATAAACAGAGAAAAAAAAGGCATAGCTGACAAGTCTGTCAGCTGACCTTTATGACGACCTCCCCACAGGTCCTAGAGGATTCCGGGAACTGCCCCTCCTAACCTGAAGTATATTTTGGGGGCTTCTCAAGGGTTTTGTGGCTTTGCTTAGTTTTAGCAATTTTAAAGCCAGAGAAAGTAAAATTAAACTCTAACATCAAACTAATATCTATCACATAAACATCATATGGAAGATTATGAAAAATGACTAAACATTTTTTATTAGTAGATGATTATAATTTAGATATTCTATTATTATTATAATCAGGTTTTTAATGACATTTTTATTCTGTACAGATACTATATGAAGTATCTTCATATAAGATAGCTCATTTTTCACAACCATTTTTTTCAAAAGTTTAAAACTCAACCATAAAACAGCTACTTAATGGGGAGAAGGGTGTGGTGAGCGGGTGGTGTCATGAACAGGGGAACAACTAGGGAAGTGGAACCAGCATGTAGGAGAGGGTAGAGGTCCTGTGAGTATTAGAGCAACACCGAGCTAGTGGAGAGGAAGCACTCAGAGGTGGAAGAAGGGGGAAAGTGGTGGCGGGGCCGGAGGAGGCAAAAGGGAACAGAGGCAAGCTCTAGGAAGCAAAGGCACAGAGAGGGGGATTAAGAGGTGTGCACTTATGCAAATACATTAATCCATAACAATAGTGGTATTGGCCCATGTACATATATTATAAGGCAATACACTGAAGCTGCAGATGCGCCTTGGGCCTCAGCTCTTATCTCCCCTCAGTACAAGAACACATTGTTCTAACAAATTGACATTCTGTGATGCTCACCACCACCCACCACCCCCTAAACAATCGCTAAAGACAAAATGGGTGCATAAACAGACGTGGTGAAGGCAGAGGATGGTGCCCAGCTATTAAAAGATATAGTGTCTGGGGTCTTAAAGTCTTGAAGTTAAACAAGCTGCCTTCCAACAGTGAAGTAACAAACCCACATGGAAGAAGCACACCAGCCGGTGCGATCGTGAGGTGCCGAGACTGGGCAACGGGCATCAGAATATTCACAACAAACAGTACATAAACAAACAAAAATACATTCGTGAGAATGAAGGAGGGTTGGAGCAGAGAGCCAAAGCCCATCTGTGGAAAATGGAGCATCCCCCCATAGAGGGGTCGCAGGGAGGAGATGAGTCAATCAGAGTGCAGTAGAGCACTAATGGGTCACGTAATATACCTCTGTTTCCTGGAGGCCTCCTCACCCCCCACTATCATGACCTCAGTGCTGCCTCCCAATCTAGACTAGATGGGAGCATGTACATAAGTATAGGCAAGAGATAAAACTCACAACACATGGAACCTAGGAACAGGAATTAGAACAGAGATACCAAAAGGATAAGTGGAAGGAGGGGAGAAGTGGGGAGGGAGGGGGGCACTGATCACAATGAATAGCACACAACGACACACCCCTAGTCAGGGGAAAGAACAACAGAAACCAGAGGGGAAGGGAGATGGCCGTTGGAGTGACATTGGAAAATAAGTAATAATCTATTATCGATCAAGGGGCCATGAGGGGTGGGGGGGATATGGGGGGAGAAAAGGAGGAGCTGATCCCAAGGGCTCAATGGAAAGTAAATGTCTAGAAAAGAACAATGGAATAAATATACGAATATATCGGATACAATTAACATATGGTTTGTAACAACAGTTGTAAGAGCCCCCAATAAAATGGGGGAAAAAAGAAGAATCAGAAAAAACTATATATATAACTACTTAAATAAACAGAAAATCATTTTACCAAAATTAACCTATTAATTTTAACATAAAGGAAAAAAGCAAACAAGTCATTTCTACTTTTATATGTTTATATTTTTAAAAGAAAAAGTAATACGGTGGTATTCTAAGAGTATGGGAAAGGAGAGATACTCAGCTAGCCAGCCAACCCAACATCTCCCACTTTTTCTCCAAATGTAGTCCCCATTACTCTTTTCTGAAGTTATCAAAAACTTTAATGAAAATCATTTTAAGTGGGACTGTAAAAAGCCACTGATGTTTAATTAATTTCCAGAATGAGAAAATGCACACTAATCTACTTTCAGGAAAGTACCTCCTTAAAATTATAAATATAGTAGTGCTATTCCTCACCATGTGCAGCCCCTCGTTTGATTCCCAATCCTAGGATCTTGCTTCTCAGGCTGGCATAGACTAGAAATGCTACAGTACCAGCAGGTACTCAGATGTTTGAAATGGGAGAGAAGCCAATGCAGCAACTCTCCAGCCCAATTAAAGAGGGCTATAGCAGGCCTACACAACATCAGGCCTACAAACTGTACACAACCATGAAGCAATTCTTCATAACCCACCCACAGATTTGGGAAGGGGGAACAAATGGAAAGACAGACAATATGGCACCCATGTCAGCAACAAAAGTTAAGGCTATTTCTCAGGCACCACCGGCCCATTCACATGTTACAATGACAATGCCTCATATCTAAACTCAGACTTACAGTCACCATAATCTGCCAATAGTTCCAAAGGCATTCACTGCACTAATACTGGATCCATAAGAAAACTTCCTAAAGGGTAAAAACCATATTGAACTAAAACTAGAACATGCCTGTATTATTCATCTGATTCCTTGCAGTTGTTGTGCATTTAACAAATATTTCTTGATTATCCTCATGGTGGGTTTGAACTGCTGACCTTGTGGTTAGCAACCTAATAGATAGCCCACTATGCCACCAGGGCTCATTATATCTGTTTACATTTTTTTCTCTTAGCCCTTTCTTTAAGTAACAATAAAAGAACATATAACTAATTGTCCAAATTGGAACTCTTTTAAGAATACTATGTCAAAAAAATAATACTTCAATGTCAAGAGAAAAAACTAAAAAATATTTTTTAATTAAAAAAAGAGAGAAAAATTAATAAATGAGGATGATCTTGGGGAAAGTAGGACATAGGAACTTCTACTAATAGGTAAAGGCAGGATGCAGAAGTATCTAATTAAATGGAAAGTATGGTTCTCAAGCTACTCTATGTACATAAAGTTGATTAACCAAAAATGGTTTAAACTTTATCACTTGCAAGAGTCTTGAAATGATACATATAGCTTTTATTTATACTGAAAATTTTCTTTCCAATGTTTTTTTGTTGTTGTTTTCTTTCCAATGTAACTAGCAATGACAGGAGTCAAAGATAAGATAATCTAAACATAATTTTTTCCTCCTAATATATTCAAAATTAAATACTTAGAATACTTAGGTATTATAATGACTTCAAATTTTACTTCTTACTTCATTTAACATTTAAATCCCCTTGGGTAGTTGTGTAAGCTTGGGCTATGTAGCATAATATATATTCATCTCTATGAATATGTGACAAAAAGCAAAAATTGAGCAAATAAGACTTAATTAACCATCATATCTTTTAAAACCGGAACTCTCCTATTTCATCTGTCAACTAACTTCACAACTGAGTTACAAATGAAACATTATCATTGGCACTTTCCACTCATATTTCTTACATGTTGTTCTTTGTATTCAATCTGTACTACATTAATCTATGTATATTCCAGTTTTATGCATATTCCAAGATAAAGGAAGGCTAAGTTTTCTATTTATTTTCCAATTCAATTTGTGAACATATAGAATAAGTAATATATTAATGGGTGTTCAAACATGCTGTAGTTTAACTGATTAGGCAACAGAATTCTTCCCAGCCTACAGAAGGAGGAAACCGGGAGAAAGAAATGTGTTTCACATTGTGCCTCTCCGTCTGAGTAAATCACAGGACTCAAGAGGCTGTTGAGATCATTCTTCTGTTCTGACTTGCTTTAGTACTTGAACCATGTTATCACTTCCTTTCAAACAACAGAAATTCCAAAATAGAATCAGCACTAATTATGGGAATACTAGTATACTTAAATAACTACTTACAAGGTTCTGTGTGGTTTTTTTGATCCTTTCAAACATCAAGCAGTGTGCAAATAATGATATCGTACTTACATGGAACTTAAACCACAATCTCCACAGGCTTTGGATATACATGGCTCTTCATTCCAGTATTTCATTCTCTTCTATTTTAGTCTCTCTCTGATGCTTGATTTTTGTCCTCTTAAGATAAAAAAGAAAGAAGTTAGCAAAGTTGCGTAATATAAGGTCAACACACAAAATATCAATTGATTTCTAATGCCCACAATGAAAAATCTGAAAAGGAAATTAAAACAATTTCACTTACAGTAACACCTAAGAGTATAATATGCCCAGAAATAAACTGGGAAGTTGAAAGACATATCAAATGGAAATTATAAAAAAATTCTGAGAGAGATTAAAAGAAGACCTACATAAAGGAAAAGACATTCTGTGTTCATGGATTAGAAGAGTTAATACTGTCAAGATGTCAATACTACCTAAAGTGATCTATAGATTAAATACAATTCTGATTAAAATCCCAACAGCATTTTAAAAAAGAAATCAAAAAGGTAATCTTCAATTTTATATGGAAAGGCTCCAAACTCAAATTTTTACATGAAAAGGCTCAAAAGTTCCTGCCATCAAGTTGACGCAACTCATGAGAACTCTATAGAACGAGTCAAGGCACTCCTTGGCTTTCCAAGCCTCATCTTTCTCTCTCTCTCCAGACATAATCCATTATGCCCCCATGGGTAGACGAAAACAATTGTGAAAAAAATGAATCAACCAAGCACCATCACACCTGCTGCCTTCAAAACATATTTACTACAGGCAGTCCCTGAATTAGGTACACTCAGTTTACAGATAACTCTTCCCCCCAAAAAAAGACTTCTAAACTCACTGCTACTGATGCCAATAGGACAGGGTAGAACTGACCCTGTGAGTTTGTTTCCAAGATCGCTCTTTACAGGAGCAGAAAGCTCCGTCTTTCTCCCTCGGAGCAGTTGGTAGTTGCCAACAGCTGGCCTTGCAGGTAAACCAAATAGTTACCACTACACAGCAGAACTCCTTAAACTAGACAACCACATACTGAACAAACTACCAACCATATGATGAAAAAATCATATATCCAATACGAGTCTAAGACTAAATGCATATATTCCACAACTTAACAAAAACACTAATAATCCAGTCAAAAATAGGCAATGGGTTTGGATAGAAATCTCATCAAGAAGTTATTCACATGGGCAACAAATGTAGACTTAAAGTCTTCAGCTATCAAAGAGATGTAAATTACAATAAGGTACTGCACCACTCCCACTAGGATACCTAAGATTTAAAATTAAAAAAAAAAAAAAAAGTTAAGTAGGATGTGAGGAAAGTAGAACATTTATCCAATCCAGGTGGGAAAGCAAAATAACATAGTCATTAAGGAAAAACTGGCACTCTCATAACATTTTTAAAAAGAGCCACCATGTAATCTAGCAATTCCACTCCTATGCATATATCCAAGGGATTTGAAAGCACTAATGCAAACAAACATATGTACACCCATTGTCCTTGCAGCACTATTCGCAATAGCCAAAATGTAAACAACTAAGTGCTCACCAATGAATAAACAAAATGTGGTATTTATACTCAGACAAAGAAATAAAGTCCTGATACATGCTATAACATCGATGAACCTTGAATGCATTATATTAACTGAAACAGGTCAATCACAAAAGGACAAATATTGTATTATCTCACTTAAATAATGTCAAAAATAGATACAGAAAACAAAGTTTTTTAGTGGTCACCAGATACAAGAGGTTACTAGGACCAATGGACCTATTTTTTTGGAAAATATTGAGTTTCCGTTTCTGGTTCAGGAAAACGCCCCATCAATGAAGGGGAAAGGCGGCACAACGTGACTGATGCAGTAGATACCAGTGAGCTGTCTTCCTGAAGATTGAAATGACAGATGTGATTCTGTAAGCAGATGCTGATATTGCTTATGTACAACCAAACTATCTCTAGAAATTTGTTTTGCTGGTTAAGAAGTTTAGGATTTTGTAGGATATTTCAATCACTTGTCAATATTTATTTCATTTCACTTTACTACATCATAACTTGCTATATTGCCTGTAATCTTAAAGCTGTATGAGTGGTCACCAAATACCTAACAGTTCATCTCTGTTGACTTGGAGCAGCAGAGGAAAGGGAGGGTCAGGAATTTGAGGGAAAACTAGAATGCACATCTAATTGTCTCCATGAACAATTAACTAACTGCCTTCTCTGACATGAAACCAGAATAGACGGTCCCTGACTACCACTCTGAACATTTTAATCACAGATTCTACAGAAGAAAGTAGAATTGTGATCAAAAGGGGTAAAATGTAGAACAAATGTTCACATTTTCATCCAATAAGGATTTTTTAAATCACTTTATTGGGAGTTCTTAGGGATATGGTAACAATCCGTAATTCAATTAGATCAAGCATAAATGTACAATTGCTGCCACCATCAGTTTCAAAATATTTTCTTGCTTCTGAAACTATTTGATAACAGCTCCCCTTTGTCCCCTCCCTCTCCCACCCTAACTCCAAGAAACCCTATATATATACTTTTTTTGTTGTTGCTGTACCTTACACCATCCAATGTATCCATTCCACCTACAATTCTGTTATTTGCTCCCCTCAAGTGGGGTTATACAGTCATCATTGCCATCAATTCCCCTCCCCTCCCATTGCATCCTCCCGTACCCTCAGGGAATCATTATTCCTGTTACTATTTCTTCTTCTTTTTTTAAATCATTATATTGGGGGCTCATACAACTCTTATCACAATCCATACATACGTCCATTGTGTCAAGCACATTTGTACATATGTTGACATCATCTTTTTCAAAACCTTTTCTTTCTACTTGAGTCTTTGGAATCAGCTCCTCGTTTTTTCCTGCCTCCCCCAACCTCCCACTCGCATGAACCCTTGATAAATTATAAGTTATTATTATTTTCATATTTTAGACCATCCACTGTCTCCCTTCACCCATGTTTCTGTTGTTTGTCACGCTGGGGTGGGGAGATGGTGGTAATACATCGATCATTGCAATCAGTTCCCCCTTTTTTCCCCCACCCTCTTGGTATCAATACTCCCATTATTGTCCCTCAACCCATTATTATTTCTGAAGGGTTTATCTATCTTGGATTTTATGCATCAAATGATATTAATTTAAAAATGAACATACACAGACCAATGAGGATTTTGCTAAAGTGATTGTGGCTAGATGACCCCTGAAACTATTGCTCTGTGGAAAAAAATTTTTGTTTATTCTTAGGAAATTTTAAACCTTAAACTGGAAATATTCTTGATGTCATCTTTAAACCAAACAGTAGTTTGGTTTAATTAGAAAAGATTGCCTTGAGCATTGTGCTTTTTAAAAGAACTATATGTGATCCAATTCACAAACAACTAGAAAGGTGAAATAAGAAGTTTAAGGATAGTGAGTTGGTGTAAATGAGGGTGAAATAATTCAGAAAAGAATGTCAAGAAAAATATAACTATTTGAAGAACATAATCAATGTCACTGAATTTTAGCTGTGGAAATTTTTATATTTGTGTATATTCTGTTTTGTACTGCTTCATCAAAATAAATCCACCAGTTGCTCTCCATAGAGCCACTAAGGGGGTTACATAGGGTAACTAAGGTGTTAGAATCAATGCCATGGCAGTGGGTGAATAGAAAAAGTGAGTGGGAAAAAAAAGAAAGAAAGAAAAAATGAGTAAGTTCAATATAAAGGCCAACCAACTAGAGGAGAACAGAGAACAATATTTGTGCCTATTCCAAAGAAAAGTGACCCAAAAGAATATGGGAATTATCAAGCAATATCATTAATATCACATGCAGACAAAATTTTGCTAAAGATAATTCAAAAATAGTTGCAGCAGTACATCAACAGGGAGTTACCAGAAAATCCAGGTGGACTGACAAGATGACATAAAATGAGGATGTCATTGCTGATGTCACATGGATCTTGGATGAAAGCAGAGAATACTAGAAAGATATTTAATTTACCTTATTGAGTATGCAAAAGCAACTGAATATGGGTCATAACAAATTATGAACAACATTGCAAAGAACAGGAAATCCAGAATACCTGATTGTGCTCATAAGAAACCTGTACATGAGTCAAGAGACAGAAAGGGAATACAGTCAGGTTTAAAATCAGGAAAGCTATGCACCAAGGTCATATCCTTTGATCATATTTATTCAATAAATTTCCCAATCAAGTAATCCAAGAATCTAGACTGTGAGAAGAATGTGACATCAGGATTGGAGGAAGCCTCATTAGCAAAGTTGAGCATGCAGGTAGCATAACCGTGTGTACTAAAAATGAGGAGGGCTTGAAGCACTTGCTGATGAAGATCAAAGATCGGAGCCTTCAGTCTGGGCTGAAACTCAGTGTCAAGAAAACAGAAATCCTCACAACTGGACTAGCAGATAATATCCTGATATACACAAAATTCAAAGTTGTCAAGGGTTCCATCTTATCTGGATCCACAGTCAACACATATGGAAGCAACAGTCAAGAAATCGAATGGCATACTGTGTTGGGCATATCTGCTCCAAAAGGCCTTTTAAAGGATTAAAAAGTAACGATGTCACTTGAGAACAAAGGCTTATCTGACCTATACAGCAGTACTTTTAATCACCTGAAATGCATGTGAAAGCTGGACAGAGACTATGGAAGACCAGAGAACCGATGTATTGGAGTTACAGTCTTGGTGAAGTTACTGGCAGCACCACTGACTACTAGAACAACAACAAAAATTGTATTGGGAGACGTCTACCCAGAATGCTTCTTAGAGGGGATGATGGCAAGATTTCACCACAGGTACTTTGGACAAGTTTTCAGGAAAAGGCATTATGCTAAGTACTGTCAGTGAAAAAGGAAGATTCTCAATGAGATGGACAAGTGGCAATAACAGGCTCAAACAGAACAGCAATGAAGAGGAAGCTATAGGACTGGGTGTTGTTTTCTCCCATTGGACACGGGCTCACTGTGAGTTAGAAGTAACCCGATGGCGCCTAACAACATTACAATTTTAGAAATGCTCTGCTCCAAAAGATTTTATTTTCTTTTACAACTTTTAAGCAAGGATAATAATACTTTTGTTTTCCTATAAACTAAGTAAGGAATGCTGGTAGCATAAGGATT